TGTTCTTTCCATCACAGTGCAATAGCTTCTTTATCTTTTAGAAGTGTGGTACTGTCTGTTGAGCATAGGGGGCATATGCCATTATTTATTGTCCCATTGTGCTGGTCCCGGGGGGAAGGTTACCGTTGGCGTAGTCAAAGTCCAGTCCTGGGTCACTGGTCTGGAAACAGTTCACAAGGAGCGAGGTGAGGTCCGAAGCAGGAAGCCGGGCGGGGACAGGAACACTGGGGGAACCGGACTGGATGCTGGCCGAAACAGCTCAGCAACGACGTTGCTCCCGCAACCTGGGACCGGGCTGGCTGGCCTTTATCTTCTCTGAGGCCAGGGGTGGTCCCGGCCCCCAGGAGACCCGCCTCTCCTGGCCTTAAGGCGAGCACTCCTCCTAGGAGAAACCAGTTCCCTTTGCCTCTCTGCCCTGAGCCTCTGCAGTTCAGGAGAGGCTGAAGGGTTACTGGACCCAGGGGGAGACTCACCTGTAGTCACTGAGTCCTCAACCACCTCTGGAGCCAGAGTGGATTCACCTGGTGCCTGCTCCTGAGGATCTGGCACAGGTGCAGGCACTTCAGAATCAAGGCCCTGCCCCAGTTCAGCCGGCCCTGGAGGCGGGGACTCCTGTACAGGCTTGGATTCCTCCGGTTCAGCCTCTGAATCGGATTCCCAAGCCATCACACCCCTCCCCTCCCAGCCCCCCCTCAATCGAGGGTCTGGACCCGGCTTGCTGGGGTACGCTGTATGGAAATCTCGGAGGCAGGCAGGCGCGTGGACGTTGGCTGCTGGTTCCCAGGAACGGTCCTCCGGTCCATAACCCTTCCAGTCTATGAGATACTGCAGCTTTCCCTTGCGGTATCGGGAGTCCAGAATGCGTTCCACCTCATACTCAGGCTCCCCCTGAACCAAAACTGGCTGCGGTCGGGGACAGTTCGGGTGGAACTCGTCGGGTGGGGCCACCGGAGTCAGAAGGGACCTGTGGAATACCGGGTGAACCTTCAGGGTTGCAGGCAACTGGAGACGGAATGCCACAGGCGAGACCTGGTCCACGATAGGAAATGGGCCGGTGAAACGGGCGTCCAGCTTCCGCGAAGGTCGAGAGGGGTGGAGGTGGCGAGTGGAGAGCCATACCAGGTCACCGACGTGGAGTTCCGGCCCCACCTGGCGGTGGCGGTCGGCCTGGGCCTTGTACGCCTCCTTGGCCTGGTGCAGTTGCTCCATCAATAGCTGTTGCTGGGACTGGAGCTCCTGAAGCCACTCCGTCACCACAGGGACCGCGGATGCCGGCAGCACATCCGGAAACAGCCGTGGATGATAACCGTAACTGGCCTGGAACGGGGTCTGCTGGGTGGACGCATTCACCGCGTTGTTGTAGGCGAACTCCGCCAATGCTAGGTGGTCGACCCAGTCATCCTGCTGGTAGCTGCAGTAACACCGAAGGTACTGCTCCAGCACCACGTTCGCCCGTTCCGTCTGGCCATCGGTCTGTGGGTGGTAGGCTGATGAGAGACAGACCTCTGTCCCGAGGGTCTGGTGCAATGCTCGCCAGAACCGGGATGTGAACTGAACGCCCCGGTCGGACACCACACGCTCAGGTAGGCCATGCAGGCGGAAGACATGCTGAAGGTACAGCTGAGCGGTTTCCTTAGCTGTGAGTACGGATGGGCAGGGGGCACAGTGCACCATCTTAGTGAAATAGTCGGAGAAAACTAGAAGGCAGGTACATCCACGAGACGGGGGTAAGTCCACTACAAAGTCCAGCGAAACCGTGTGCCAAGGATGTGGTGGGACTGGCAACGGCTGAAGTAGGCCGGGGGGTCGCCGGGTAGGGCCCTTGGCCCGCTGGCAGACATCACAACCAGCAACGTAGTGAGCCACGTCACCCTTCAGGCGGGGCCACCAAAACTCACGGCTTACCAGATGGGTGGTCCGATACCGCCCAAAGTGTCCCGCTGCTGGGGCATCATGGGTCATCCGGAGAACCTCAGCCCGCAGTGGCCCTGGCGGGATATACAGGCGACCATGGTGCAGCAGAAGGCCCTGTTGCAAGACCAGCCCCGGATACTGAGGGCATGACCCTTCGGCCAGTTCCTGGAGTCGTTCCTGGGCCCAAGCGTCGACCCGCTGCTGTTCCCGCACCCAAGCCTGCAGTGGCTCAGCCTCCTGGGTGGCCAGGAATGCAGCCGGTGGTAGGATCGTGGTGGGTAGTGCTTGCTGTACCGTGTCTGCGTTGTCTTCAGGTTTCCGGGACAGGGCATCCGCCTTCTGGTTTTGGGAGCTAAGGATGTAGCGGATCCGGAACTGGAACCGGGAAAAGAACAACGCCCACCGGATCTGCCTTTGGTTCAGCTTGCGGGTGGTCCGGAGGTACTCCAGGTTCCAGTGGTCGGTTCTCACCTCCGGTGGTCCGGTGGTCGGTTCTCACCTGGGCAGAGGCTCACCAGGGTTTCAGGAGACATACCCTCAGCCCTACCCGGAGAATCTTTCATGGACTGAACTTGGGATGGGAACTTCTCCATGCTCTCCCCATTGAGCTATGATGGCTCCCTCCCTTCTCCTCCCCTCCTCCTCTGCAGGAGGCCTATCTCGGCATGTCATTATAATGTATATATGTCAAGGGCTTTGAGATGCATATAAAGTCAGGCTCAGCATTATTAACTGGACTTAGATAAGCCATGATTCCCCTTCCTTCCCTCCTCTGAGGCGCACTTTAAAGCAGCAAAGTGGACAGGAGCCGCCCGCTTTGCTGCTTTAAATAGTTTAGTACAACATTTGATTCAGAATATTTTTTTCGTGTTTTCCTCCTCTAAAAACTAAGTGCGCCTTATGGTCAGGTGCGCTTTATGGAGCAAAAAATACGGTAATAATTTGGCAAAAATGGATGAAAAAAGGTATTTTGACATTGAATCAATTAACTGATGAAAATTACAAATTTGTGGAACATAAGACTTTGCAAGTGAAGTATGGATTAACCAGTAAACACAATGGAAATACATCCAATTGAAACATACGTTGGAAAGGCAGTTTGGCCCTGACGCTATAGCAGCATCAGAAACACCCTTGCTGCTACAAGATTTAATTTCTGCAACAAAAGCAAAGAACTCTACACTTGCACTATATAAAACCCTACTCAACAGAAAGAAATATGATTTAGAATATGATAGACAAAAACGGAGTGAAGAGTTAGGAGTACAGCTAACAAATGATATATGGGAGTCAAGTATAAAATCAACAGAAATAGCTTCTATGGATTTAAGACTAAGACTTATTCAGCAGAAAATAATATTCAGAGTCCATTGGACTCCAGCAAAACTTTACCAGAAGAAAATAACAAATGCAGACAACTGCTGGAGATGTGGAAGTAAAAATGTGAACTTAGTACATATGATGATTAAAAGCCTGATGAGAACATCATTTTGGAGCGAGGTGAGGATATATATAGCAAGAGTAATAAAAAGAAATTGTTATTTAGGGGATTTGAATTTAATTATGAATTATATACCGGAAATGTGGGAGATTACAAGGGGTCAAAAAAAATGGATGTATCATGCCATATTAGAAGCAAAAAAAAACTTGTATTGATGAATTGGAAGAGCCACAAAAAGATCCAATTGAGCACAAGGATTGACAATATGGACAGACTAGTTACCTACGAACGAATTGCATATCGACGCAAATTAAGAATGGATAAATATGAAGAAATCTGGAAAGAATACTTAAGTGATAAGGCGGACAGTGGTGAGAAGTAGGGGGAGGAGAGGTGGGGAAATATTGTTAAAAAGGTGTAGTTATAGGTATATCAGTACTCAAATCTGAATTGTTAAATTGTGTTATTAGTGTTGTTGTGGTTTTTGTTGCATATGTTTGTTTTGGTTGTTGTTTGTATTGAAAAAATGATTACATAATATTTTTAAAAAAGAGTAGTTTGGAAGCAATCCCACTTAATGGGATCTTGAAGGGCTTCAGTGTTTATTTTGCGCCTTGGTTTCCTTCCTGGAAGCCTGCATTGAGGTATAATCTTGATAGCCATTGCCGACCGTATTAATCAGTGATCTGTCCAGCTGTCGTCGGCACTCATCATAGCTCTGGTAAGGAACACATCGTGGCAATCTTCAGCTTGGACAATTGCATTGTCTAAGAGGTGCCAGTAGTTCGACTGAGGGTGCCTCCATGATTTAAATTTACAGTCGGACCTTGGAAGTTGAACGGAATCTGTTCTGGACGTCCGTTCAACTTCCCAAAATGTTTGAAAACCAAATCGTGGTTTCTGATTGGCTGCAAGAAGCTACTGCTGCCAATCAGAAGCCATGGAATCCCCATCAAACGTTTGGGTTCCAAAAGAACGTTCACAAACAGGAACAATCACTTTCGGGTTTGCGTCATTGTTGGAGCCAAAATGTCCGAGTTCCAGGGCATTCGGAATCCAAGGTACGACTGTGTATATATATATGTATATATATTTGTCGAAAGTGTGTGTTGGTAATAACACGGTTGTGCACAACACATATAGTCAAAAGAAAGATTCTGTTCTGGTTGCTGTTGCCAACTCCTTCTTTCCCAATAGTCCCAGGCCACAGATCGAAATCTTGCCCAACTCTTGCATTAAAATCACCCAGGAGGTTAATATTATCCTCCTTAGGGGTCTCTGATAGGATGATATCCAGCAGATAGTAAAATTTATTTTTAATGTCTTCATCAACATCTCGTGTTGGTGTATAAGCACTTAGAATAGTAGCCTGTTGGTTTTTGGTGAGTTTTATTCAAAGAGTGGAAAGTCGTTCATTAATGCCGGTAGGGACTTTTGACAAGCGCTTCACAAGATCGTTTTTTATAGCAAAGCCTACTCCATGTATTCAATGTTTGTGTTCAGGAAGTGAGTGTTTTAGTATCATCACTATGCTGTCCATGTCCTGAGACTCAATGAGCATACACAAGAGCTTCTGCAGAAAGATTTGTGTTGGGATTTGAGGACCCGATCCCCGCTTGGGTAAGTAAGACACGTGGACACAGTATTTTAGGTTAATGGGCAAGAAAAGGCCACAACTTTATTGATTACAGAGAAGGTATTGGCTTAGGCATTGGACCACAGCAAATTTGACTCCACCCACTCAGAGAGGGGTGAGTCTGATGAGGGGTTAACCACCAGCAGGGGGAGCCTGTTGATGCAAATACAACTATAAGCTCTCCCCTGATGTCACCAAGGGTTGTGCCATGACCCCCCGCCACACAGGGCATTGGACAGAATCCACGAGCGCCGGATTCCTTTAACGGAATACCCATAAGCGAAGGGGTAGGCGATGGCCACACCTTGCCCTTCCATACACCAACAACACATTCCAATGCCTAACCACCACCCGAGCCCAAGAGGCTCGCTGGATTGGTGAGGAGGCTGGGAGAACAGTGCTGTCGGCAGTGCTGGAGCGACCTGCAGCCACCCGAGACCTCACTCTAACTAAAGCAAAACAACAGCCAGGAACCCTCCAGATGCCCCACAAAAATTACTAAGGCGAAATAAGAGTACAAATGCAGGTAAAATCACTGGACCCCTTCCTCCAAACCTCACAACTCCAGAATTGGAACAGGAGCTTCCGACTTCGTAACTCTTTCACGTGCTTGGCTCAAACAAGACGACGACGAGCAGGAACACTTGACTCGTGGAAAATCTGAAGCGCAATGGCGGGGAGAGCTGGCGCGGCCGCATTTGAGTGGCTAAACCATGCCCCACGGTGGCACCTGATTGGGTGCCCAACTGGGAGGCGTGGCGCGCCAGCGATGATGAGAGGGCAGGGGGCCGAATGCCCTCTGCGTGGCGCGGGAATTGTCTCCCACTCACAATCCCTCCCCTCCGGATGGAGGAGAGGCTTTACAGGGCTCAGATCTTGGAACAGCCTTTTATAAACATAAAAGAAGTGTCACTGTTTTGATATAGAAGATTTGTAGACATTACTCTTTCAGATATAGCATTATTTCAAGGTTCAATTAAACACTCACCTTCCCGTTACACTCTTTGATTCTGGTGCTACCAGTGTAAGTCTCCAAAAGGGGAATTCTGGGAGTTTTGCAGGATAGGACAAGAAGGCACTTAGGCCCTTCAGCATGTACACCAGAGGCTGAGCTAATGAGCTAATGACCCTTCACAATAATTAATATACAATCCAGCACAATTCTGTGTATCTTAACTTAGCTTTAATTACATAATAATGAAAGTTTACTATTACAGATGCATGATCATAAACATTACAACTGCTTTATATGGACTAGTCAGCTTTGTAATGCTTATCAAATCGTTCTGAAATAGCTCTTAATATATTTCCTGGCCTTTTTTGGTGTTTATCCCGAAGATTTTCAATTGCAGTCTTTGTCTGTTGAAAGAAGAACAAAGGAATATTGTATTATATCAATATATTGCAAAATGGATATTCACAGTTATTCATATCTGTGAGGAAATGCTAAAGGGATCAGAACCATTAGAATAAATATTCCCATTTTTTTCCAGTTACAGATTTTTTTTTTACCAAGAGCACTTTATGAGAATGGCAGAGATACAACCAAAAATAAGTGCCTTGGGCTGCTTGGAACGTATCAGTTTTCCTGCATGGTTGTTACCTCCAGTTATGTGAGGAAAACTGCAGAAATGCTATTGAGTTATATTTCACTATGCTCAGTGCTATTTTTGCAGAAAAAGAGGTGCCTGAACTCACTATGAACACCTCCCTCGTTCTCTTAGAATGGCAATGGCTGATAGGACTAGTGAGAAAAAACAGTCACCCCCTGGTTCCTTGCCTGAAAACAGCACAGCAGGGCATGGGTAAAATAGTAGAGTAGAATGGAGTCACATTCACGTGCAGAGTTGCAATAAATCAAACAAACATCAGAAGTTCTTCAGTAATAGTTTTAGTGAGGATTAGGAGCATACAGTGCTTATTGGGTCCCCCACCGGGGAGGGGGCTTGGAGGAACTCTCTGGGGCAGATTCTGGGGCATATGGTGGGCAGAAGAAGTCCTATTGCATGAGCAGATCTTTGTGCAGCACTACATAAAATGCATAGGTTTTTCGTGGTCTCAACAAGTTCCGGAGAGGGAAAGCTGACTGATGAACATAATGCACAAAAGTCTATATAATGAACCCAATCTCTGGTCGTATAGAATGAGCAAGTCAGTAGGCAGAAACCATTTTATAGAACTGAAAAAGAGAAACCAACAAGGGGGGGGGGGGGTAGAGTTAACTTACCTTTTCAGCCAGCTCTGCAGCTGTTATATTTGGATCATATGGGATGGGTTCTCCAATATATGTCCTCAGTTTCACTGGAAATGGCCCGTATATGGGAAGGTAGATAAGTCGTGTTTTCTCATATAACCATCTTGTCAGCCCTATGTATGAAAGGGAAAAGAGTCTGTAAAAAAGCGATCCCATATCAAATTTGAAATTAGTTGGCATTCTGAGTTTTTAGCAATTCCAGTCAATCCATCCCAGAGAGGAAGCGTTAAATAGTATGAGTCCTTTGGAAAAGAAAAGGCAGTATATTCTGTCAGCTCTTCTCTGCTCTTTAAAAATCAAGGTCAAAAGTTGTAAAATAGACTGCAGAATATGGTATTTTTCCTGCTCAGTTCCTCTCCATGCTGGGGTTCCTACCACTTTTATAGATTATAGCTATCTTTTAAATCTAATAAAAAACTAAGCAAGGACATGTTCACTCAGTCCTGAGACAGGCAGCACAACTTTTGCAGATCAGTGTACACTGAATAAACTCTACTAGAAAGTAGTAAAAAGATATTCTGTTTCTAAAAAAGTGTATATTATAAAATGTTTATTGCCTGAAAGCAGATTTCTGGATCAACCAAGGTACTCACTTGACTTTCCAATGTTCCTGTATGCTTCACAAATATTTTGTGTAAATATAGGGAGGATGGGCTAAAAGAATAAAATCAAAAATCAAAATCAAAAGGTAGCTGAGAACTGGAGAATTACTTCACCCCACCCGCTCCACCTTTATTTTGGTTAAGGACTAGGAATAATGCTCCCCATCTGGTATTGCAATGACAAGCCTGATGTAATTGACTTCAAATTGAACATGCTGTCCCCCAGATTTTCAAGAATTGAAGAGGAAAAAAGCTATTTTTCTTTTTAAATGTAATTGATTTTAATAGCTTTAAAACAAAAAAAAAGCAGTGGTGGGAAATACAGATATCATTTGACTCCCAAACAGGGGATTTGCCATCCTCAACTACTTAGGATGCTAGAGCAAGGATATCAACAGATCACGTCTTAGCTAGGATAATCCTGAAGGAAATGCAAATTGCACAAAGATCACTCACCACTTTTGCCTCCAAAGCTATCCGAGCGAAACCTGTGCGGTTACCCCACATTATGTTGTAGTCAGTACTGAAGTTTCCTTCTCTACCTCCACCAGGGGAAATGCCCAGTGAATGGCCTTTCTTCAAAATTTCCACAGATTCAGCTTTATTGAAATCTTTCAACCCGGCCGCATCTAAAGCCGTCTTCCACCCTGACAAAATAAGACCCAAATAGAAGAAGAGTGTGGCTACAATACAAGTGTCATTGTTCCAAAGATATTGCACTATTATGGATCACAAGCATAGCTCTCTGCCAATCCATTTCAATTAGGATTTCATGGAGGGGGACTTTATGCTAATTCCTCTTTTTCTCAGATGTTCTAACAGTAGGCTTTTTTTGGAAAGCACATTGAGTGGGGTTGAGTGCTGAGGTGGCCACCTTGTTGGAAATGGGTTCCTCAAGTCAAGTTTGTAGTACATTCAAGTTTGCATTATGATAAAAATACAGTCCATAGTGCTTGCTGCACCACCCAAAACTTCAATCCCTTTATGCTGCAGAGCTTTTGGATATAGTACATACACACACAGAGAGAGATACACACATGGCCCAGAGGAGGCTATGCTGGTGCAAAACAGCAGAGATTCATCTACAGATATATGGGTGGAGAATATATGCTGCATTAATGAACCAGTGGAATACCCCCAAAGAGCACACTTTGGGCTCCTTCCTTCCTTCCTTCCTTCCTTCCTTCCTTCCTTCCCTCCTTCCTTCCTTCCATGAGCTTTCTGTGGTGTCATCAGAGGAAGATGATGTGGGGGGAGTGGCAGTGGAGGGCCATGAACACTACAACAAGGGTGCCACATGTGTTTGATTGCAGTCACATGGGGGCATAAAAGCTGTGTGTGGGAGTGCTTGATTGGCCATGTGTTTGGGTGGGGCCATGTTTTCTGGGATCTGTGTGCAGATTTGGTGATTGGTTGGACTTGCTATGAAAGCCACGGACATGTCTTTGGGGCTTCACTTGGGCTTCTGCCCTTTTCCTTAGCTTTTGCTCCCACCCTGTCCCAGCTGCCACAGAGGATTTTGCACAGGTGGTTTGCTAGTGCAGATGCTCCCAAGCAGAATCCCATACTTTGCATTGTTCTTTCCAGTAATGAATAGCCATCTTTACTAATGACTGAATTTTGCAAAACTCTTTGTACTTGAGGAAATCATAAACTCAGAGACGCATTTTCCTAAACCTTGTCCTATTCTAGTATTAAAGTCAGCAGCAATTATTATATGAGAGCCTTCAGTTACAGCATAGAAATCAGATGTCACATTATCCAGATTCCTTCAGTTCTTAGATCCCTGAGGAAGAATGTAGACAAGTTGTACAAGAAAGCATGAAATTTCTGCATGAAAGCAAAGGAATTGTCTTGCAATTACTAGCGTAAAAGAAGAAGAAGAAGAAGCACTCTCATAGCTGTTTTGAGGTCAGGTCAGGTTTTCCTGCAATCTGTGATCATGGGCCATAGACCCAGGTTGACATGCTGTATTGGAAACAGCCTGATTCAAATATGATGCCTGAAACATTATTGGGAGAAGAGGTTGAGGTTGTAAATGGCTAAAAGCAAGCCTGCAGTTTCCAACTTATTTCATGTGTTGTTTTTCACCTGCTTGCCTGATACACTGTTTTATATTTTATAGCATTGTTTTATATCTTATAGCTTTATTTTATATCATATTTCACATATTTTATGTAAAAAAGCATGAGTTAAATTTAATAACTTACCTGCAAACCGATATATGGCACGATCAATTATTGTAAAGCACTCTCTCCCTGTCTCCCTGAAAAGTCTAGCGACAAGGAAGAAATAGTCAATAGTACAAACTGGGTGATAAAAGATAATAAGCACTGGTCCTTTAGGGAGATGTTCCATGCCAAAAACTTCATAACCTGGAAATAATATAAAATGCAATAAATAAATGTTATTTTGTTGAAAAATAAATGGAATATTGCAATCTTTTATTGGAAGAAAACACTGTGGTTCAGAAAACTGTAATTTAAGATCAAGTAAAAAGCTCTCCTATATGTTGCAGCATTCTGGATACTAGGTTGTTATCCACACGGACCAGGACTTTCTCTGTTGTGCTCACATAATAAATGATATTTCTCCTCTGCTGGAATCTTCGTTCCTTGCTTAATTTTGGGCACAGGTGGAAAAAAATTTGCCTAGTCTTTGAGTGCGCTAAAACTGTGACTTGTTGTTTCAATCTCCTTTAAACTTTCATCAGGGGCGTCTTAAGCATATGCGGTGCCGGAGTGCAAAGATCCGCCTGGCACCCCTAGGTTGCCCAGAGTTGTCGACATTTTTTAAAGGGGGGACCCCAAAGTTGTTGACTTTTTTTTAGGAGATAGTTGTTTATCTTTTGAATGGTTGCAGGTGCAGTGACTCACATCGCCAACTAATGGGGGTTCCAGCGCCAAACGCACAGGGGCGCATGAAGGTGGGTGTGGGTTCCATGCTAGGGGGGAACAAAATGTTGGGCTACACAGTTTTCGTCCTGTCCACCCGCTGCCTCCACACACCTCGCTACATGGCGGCTAACTGTTTCGGCTGGAATCCATGCGCTCCTATTCGTCAGGACTTCTTGCTGCCGTCGGCGCTGTTGGTATGTGGTGGATCCTGTCCAGAGATGTTTCCTCTGCTGCCACTTGCATTCCCCGTCGTTCTGCGCTGGCACATCTCATTGGGCGGTGCTGGGAGCGTGCGACGACAGCGGAAAAGCCAGCAAAGGAACCCACAGCTCGGCACATGCAACAGGATGCATCGTGCAGCGCCCACAACGTTACATGGTGCTCCGGGCATGGCACTGAAACAGTTAGCTGCCATGCAGCTGGGGCAAGAGCCGACAGGCTCTTCTGCTGCGGGCAGGTTGGTGTGAGTTTGGGAGCGAGCGTTGGAGTCCGGGAAAGAGCCGCCTGCAGAAGACGAACTCTGACGGGCTCTGCTCCGCTCGGCTGTCGGCAGCTCTTCCCTGGACTCCAACGCTCGGCCCTGGACTCTCAGCCTGGCACCCCTGAGAGCCCGGCGCCCGGGTGCCGTGCACCCCTAGCGCCAATGGTTAAGATGCCCCTGACTTTCATATGGGTTATAACACTATATTTTCCTGAGCCTTTTTTATTTGAAGTAACAGTATTACCCTTCCGTACAGAGTGTTGCACATTCTTTCCCCATCCTCAAGAGCTCTAATTTCAGGCATCTTCAGGGCATTCTCTGAATCACTTTATACAATGTGAGAAAACAGTTTCCCAGACAGATGCACCCTTGATCATGTCCTAAGTAGCCACAGGGTTTCATCCTTATGACCCAAGCTTGGTTTTAGTAATGTGTTTCTGATTCATGCTTCAACATCTAAAGCAACATTACACTCTGGGATGCAATGGGAACATAAGATGGATCCTCTTGATCAAGCCAAAGCTCTCTGTTTTCCATCATCCTGTTTCTCACAGTGTCCATCCAAATTAGCAGCCATCACCACATCACCACATCCTTTGCTGACAAATTCCATGGTTTGTGTCCAGAGTTTATGCTTCAGGGTTACCTAGTGATTTACCATGCTGAAGAAAATTGCACCCTCAAAGTCTCACTACACAATGATATATTCATTAAATTCGCTGTGTACCCACCACATGGTAAAAACCAGTAGTGGTAACTATTGTTCCAGGGCCTCAAGTCTGAAATTCTGATGCTCAGTCCTATGAAAGTATAGTAGCTGAATTATTGGTATGAAAGAAACATTTACTCACCATGCCATATCTTTCCAAATATATCTAAAACTTGAGCCGTAACTTGCTTTGGCTTTTTCCAAACTTTGGTATCAAAATCAGTTTCTTGCTGGTTATTCATCTTCTTGTAGACATATAGCAAAAATGAGATTGCACAGACAAACAAATACGTCATTATAACGATTGAAAAAGGCAAAATCAGAAGCATACGCAACCACCAAGAGTGAGCCACTGAGCTCAGGTATTCTTCTAAGGAAGGAAAACTAATCCAGTTTCCCAGCATTTGAGTAAAGCAGCTCATGGTTTCCTGATATGAAGCCCCGCGTGTATGCCGAGGAAGGAAACAAATCCAGTTAAACCTTCTTTGGTTTTGATGGTATTTTCCCCCACTGTTTACCTGGAAAACAGAAAATGCAGTATATCAGTTTGAACTGCCATTCCAGAAGCGTTCATGATTACATGAAATCTTCTGCTATTTAATATTTTCCTAGTTTTCCCCACTGTAACTTGCCAAGTAGATACAAGTAGATACAAAATGACAAGTGTATGACTTGTAAAGCAAGCTGGTTTCAGTCCACTGCTGAAGTATTAAGGAAAGTGAGAAAGGGTCACTTCTCTTTGAGTCAGCAGAAATGGTTCCCCGCCTCCTAAAAGTGCAGCTGCATGCATCTTGTGACTGTCTTCTTTGTGTTGCTGGGCAAACTAACACATATCCCAGGATAGATAAAGAACTCAAGTTTCAGCATTCACTGTTGTGGGGCATTGGAGACATGGATACTGTTGGAATGATCTGGGGAAAATGTGTCGGATTTGTGAAGAGCTTATCTGATGGAAGTTAGACACATTGCAAGACGTCTACACAGAGGGAACTCTGGCAGTTGCAGGACTTTTTGGAGCAAGTGGACTTTGCACTTGCTGTGTGCACTTTTCCTCAGCAAAAACTTTATACGTCGAAACGCTCTCTGGGCTCAGAGAGTGAAGAATTCTTGTAGCAGAGACAGTGTGTGTCTTTATGCCCCCAAAGTAAAAGTGATCTCTGCTACACAGTTGTTTCTTGTACTGAGGCTATCCACTTGACTCAAATTATATGGAGCGAACACAACACCGAACAAGAGGGAGGGTGGGGGAAATAATGAGCTGATGGGTGGCAGCATTTTGGAATTCACTGCAAAGTGCCTCTTTCTGGGGATGTGAAGTGGAATAGCAGCATTGCTGCCAGATAAGAACAGATGCCGATGGCCAAACCCTGTTATTACTGCCTCTAGAACTTCTTTCCGGTTGGGTTATTGGGGACCATGCCACTATACACAACCATTGCATTTTTGTTTACAAATTACTAAGTCATCTGAAAACAGACCCTTACATAGTTGAATTGCATATATTTTATTTTACTCTCTCTTCACTACATCTTTCAACAGAAAAGTATGGGAAAAGAGACAAAATTGATAAGGGTGTTGTTGTTTAGTCATTTAGTCGTGTCTGACTCTTCGTGACCCCCCTGGACCAGAGCGCGCCAGGCACTCTTGTCTTCGACTGCCTCCCGCAGTTTGGTCACACTCATGATTGTAGCTTCCAGAACACTGTCCAACCATCTCGTTCTCTGTTGTCCCCTTCTTCTTGTGCCCTCAACAGGGTCTTTTCCAGGGAGTCTTCTCTTCTCATGAGGTGGCCAAAGTATTGGAGCCTCAGCTTCACAATCTGTCCTTCCAGTGAGCACTCAGGGCTGATTTCCTTCAGAATGGGTAGGTTTGATCTTCTTGCAGTCCATGGGACTCTCAAGAGCCTCATCCAGCACCATAATTCAAAAGCATCAATTCTTTGGTGATCAGCCTTCTTTATGGTCCAGCTCTCACTTCCATACATCACTACTGGGAAAACCATGGCTTTAACCTTTGTTGGCAAGGTGATGTCTCTGCTTTTTATGATGCTGTCTAGGTTTGCCATCGCCTTTCTCCCAAGGAGCAGGCGTCATTTAATTTCATGGCTGCTGTCACCATCTGCAGTGATCATGGAGCCCAAGAAAGTAAAATCTCTCACTGCCTCCATTTCTTCCTCTCTCCTCTTTGCCAGGAGGTGATGGGCCCAGTGGCCATGATCTTCGTTTTTTTGATGTTGAGCTTCAGACCATATTTTGCGCTCTCCTCTTTCAACCTCATTAAAAGGTTCTTTAATTCCTCCTCATTTTCTGCCATCAAGGTTGTGTCATCTGCATATCTGAGGTTGTTGATATTTCTTCCGGCGATCTTAATTCCGGCTTGGGATTCATCCAGTCCAGCCTTTCGCATGATGAATTCTGCATATAAGTTAAATAAGTAGAATCATAGAATCATAGAATCATAGAGTTGGAAGAGACCACAAGGGCCATCGAGTCTAACCCCCTGCCAAGCAGGAAACACGATCAGAGCACTCCTGACATATGGTTGTCAAGCCTCTGCTTAAAGACCTCCAAAGAAGGAGACTCCACCACACTCCTTGGCAGCAAATTCCACTGTCGAACAGCTCTTACTGTCAGGAAGTTCTTCCTAATGTTTAGGTGGAATCTTCTTTCTTGTAGTTTGGATCCATTTCTCCGTGTCCGCTTCTCTGGAGCAGCAGAAAACAACCTTTCTCCCTCCTCTATGTGACATCCTTTTATATATTTGAACATGGCTATCATATCACCCCTTAACCTCCTCTTCTCCAGGCTAAACATGCCCAGCTCCCTTAGCCGTTCCTCATAAGGCATCGTTTCCAGGCCTTTGACCATTTTGGTTGCCCTCCTCTGGACACGTTCCAGTTTGTCAGTGTCCTTCTTGAACTGTGGGGTCCAGAACTGGACACAGTACACCAGGTGAGGTCTGACCAGAGCAGAATACAGTGGCACTATTACTTCCCTTGATCTAGATGCTATACTCCTATTGATGCAGCCCAGAATTGCATTGGCTTTTTTAGCTGCCGCGTCACACTGTTGGCTCATGTCAAGTTTGTGGTCAACCAAGACTCCTAGATCCTTTTCACAAGTAGGGAGACAACATACAGCCTTGCCGTACTCCTTTCCCAATTTTGAACCAATCAGTTGTTCCATATCCAGTTCTAACTGTAGCTTCTTGTCCCACATAGAGATTTCTCAGGAGACAGATGAGGTGATCAGGCATTCCCATTTCTTTAAGAACTTGCCATAGTTTGCTGTGGCCGACACAGTCAAAGGCTTTTGCATAGTCAATGAAGCAGAAGTAGATGTCTTTCTGGAGCTCTCTAGATTTCTCCATAATCCAGTGCATGTTTGCAATTTGGTCTCCTGTTCCTCTGCCCCTTCCCAATCCAGCTTGCACTTTTGGTAGTTCTTGTTCCACATACTGCTTAAGCCTGCCTTGTAGAATTTTAAGCATAACCTTGCTAGCGTGTGAAATGAGTGCAATTGTGCGGTAGTTGGAGCATTCTTTGGCACTGCCCTTCTTTGGGATTGGGATGTAGACTGATCTTCTCCAATCCTCTGGCCACCACTGAGTTTTCCAAATTTGCTGGCATATTGAGTGTAGCACCTTAACAGCATCATCTTTTAAAATTTTAAATAGTTCAGCTGGAATATCATCACTTCCACTGGCCTTGTTATTAGCAGTGCTTCGAAGGCCCATTTGACTTCACTCTCCAGGATGTCTGGCTCCAAGGTCAGCAACCACACTACCTGGGGTATACGAGACATCCATTTCTTTCTGGTACAGTTCCTCTGTGTATTCTTGCCACCTCTTCTTGATGTCTTCTGCTTCTGTTAGGTCCTTTCCACTTTTGTCTTTTATTATGGTAATCTTTGTACGAAATGTTCCTTTCATATCTCCAATTTTCTTGAACAGATCTCTGGTTTTTCCCATTCTATTGTTTTCCTCTATTTCTTTGCATTGCTCATTTAAGAAGGCCTTCTTGTCTCTCCTTGCTATTTTTTGGAAATCTGCATTCAATTTGCTGTATCTTTCACTATCTCCCTCACATTTTGCTTGCCTTCTCTCCCCCGCTATTTGTAAGGCCTCATTGGACAGCCACTTTGCTTTCTTGCATTTCCTTTTCATTGAGATGGTTTTAGTTGCTGCCTCCTGTATAATGTTATAAGCCTCCATCCATAGTTCTTCAGGCACTCTGTCCGCCAAATCTAAATCCTTAAACCTGTTCCTCACTTCCACTGTGATTTTTTCACTTCCACTGGGATTTGACTTAGATTGTATCTTAGATTGATAAGGGTATGCGGGCTTTAAAACACAACTGTTTTGATTCCAATAATAGCTGTGTTACAGGAAGGAATTAAATTTCTGCTTCTCAGTGTTATAATATCTGAAAAACTGTAAGTGCTTAATTTCATCTCCGCAAGTAGCGAACATCCTAGTTGTGTTTTAAGTTGACAATGTGGAAACAGGCTAAGATTTTCATACAACTGGTTTTTACACACGCACATAGACAAGACAGCATTTCTCTCTCTCTCTGCTGATCCCTGCACAGGAACTGACAAATAATACAACTACTAGCACATTTGCAAAACTAAGCAAGAATCATTTGTTGAGATTGCAGGGGGTTGACTAGACAACCCGTTGGGCCCCTTCCAACTCTACACTTTATGTTTCTATGAACAAAAACTTTTACTTACATTCCTGGTAAGCCTAAATTGCCTTCACTTTGGTCACCTCTCTCTGAGAGCAGCAAAAGTCTTGTCTGGTGCTCTACGTTTTCGTAGGCTAATTTCCACCACTATGGAGACACATCCCTTTATGTGGAGGTTTAAAGAGACTTATATGGGTGTGCCATCTGTATGAACAAACCAAGCATTGTGAAAAAGAGAGAAGACTTGGGGATGCGGCTTCTTGGATGTCATGACAATTTGTAATCAAACATAAAGTATGTAGTCACACCTACAAGAATATTCATAATGCACATTTACATTCTGGGTCACAGAAAACCAGTTCTTGACTAAGTAATAAAGGTAGGAATTGTACTCGCAACACTCTGTTTGTGATTCAGTCATTGACTCATTAAGAACAAATATCCATGGCTTGTAAAAGCCAAACAGAACCAGAAAACATAAAAAGCACATGTATCTTATCTTCACTAGCCACTTCATGAATCACTTGAAGAAGAGTTAAAGCTAATTAAAACTCATTAAAACCACTTTGTTGTTTAGTCGTGTCCGACTCTTTGTGACCCCATGGACCACAGGAAGCCAGGCACTCCTGTCTTCTAAAAGCCAGATAAAAACCACAGGCTTTCCAGAGAGAGATGTTGCCTTGCAAGCTGCTGAGTCCCTTCCAGGCACTGTTCTACTTCATCACCTGACACTCTTGAGAATATGAGGGAGCCCTGATTGCTTGAGTGTTGAGAAAGGCACTTGAGAGTGTTGAGGATGACATTTGAGAGCCAACCTATCAAGTGCCTACCTTAATTCCGAATTCTATAGCAAGACTTCCACAGAAGTGGTGAGCATGCCAACTTGAAAATTCCTGAGTATTCAGGAATCCACCATAAGTCTCTGGGAACAGACCACCTTAATGGATCCCCTAGCCTTATAGAAGGGCACTGCATCATCACTTTGAATTTCACTATCGAATTATCCATCTCAGACAATGGGCTCAGCACAAACTTCCGTACGAATGGATTTCGACCTTCCCACTCCCTTGGAGAGACCTGAATTAGGGTATGTTCTGTCTTATGTGTTGGGCCTTTAATTTACTGAGATGGTCTCATGGTTGCCATGGAGACCAGGACCTAGAGGTTTTATGGTCAAATGCCATGTGTTGCAGCATTTCTGGTCTGTGAACAGATAATGGAGGAGGATAGAGACTGCTCTATAAAAAGAGGCGATAAAGAAGAAAATACAGTTATTAAAGGGGAAATCAGTGAAATTTATAAAATATAAGTAGAAAAGGGGGATCAAGAATGCAAGGCTTGGGTCTCCTCCCCGCCCCACGAGATGACTCCGGCCGTTAATTATTTAAGATTTATTGGTTCAACAAAAGCCCCGGTTGGAGCTCCACTAATTTCAGTCTTGAAAATGGAGCTCCACTAATTTCAGTCTATGTTGAAAAGGCTGTCCATAAGAATAAAATAAAATTATTATAAATTTTTTAGAGATGGTATTTAACACCAGTCAGATTAAATCAAATAAACAAGGAATATTCGGTGTTATCTTGGAGGGGATGCCAGGAAACGGAATTATGTTCAAATGGGGTGGGGTTGTAAATATGTGCAATTTTGGGGGGCAAAGTATGTTTAAAGAGATCACAGAAATCACTGGGTTAAAGCTGATCGAAAGTCCAGAGGTAGCATTATTATCAATTTACAATGGGTTGGAAGGGGTATGTCACTTATTCTTCTCTTAGTCCCTCCAGATTTTATGCCATGACGGAGGGGGGGGGGCTACTCTTTACCTCCCTGGTGTGGATCCCATATATATATATATATATATATATATATATATATATTTGTCCAAATTGGTCTGATTTCTTTTTACTTTATAGAGGAGTTGCTGCTTTAATGGTGGCACTTGAGACGTTTTGCTGAGAGGTCTTGATTGCACAGTGTCTCTGTGTTCAATATTGGAGCTTCCGTGGTTCCCTTCGGGGCTTTGGAGACTCCTAGGGAGCGTTCTCCGACACCACTGGACCCTTCGGAACCAGAATTTTCCTTATGGGCTTTTTTAGAGAAGGTGCTTTGCCCAAGCTCTCTTCCTGCCTATTTGGAGCAATCAGGTCACTCAGGGTGAGCAATCCCCATCATCCACCATAGCCTGCAGCAGTCCACAACAATACATTGCATTTTTTAATATAATTTTTTAAATTAATTTTTCATTAATAACAATCCAATATAGACCACATTAATACAATACCAAATCATAATTCAATTTAAAAAGCCAATTGTCAGATTTCAAATTAAACATTTTGGTTGACTTCCCATGTTCTGATTTTAGGAGGTTTTTTAGGAGATGTTGATTCCTTTTTGCTGCTTCAATCCAATTTAACCCAAATAATACAGTTCCTATGTTGATCCTTTATTTTATCAGCCACTGATGTGTTGACTTTCATTTGTATTTAACTGTTCCATATCCTTTAATTTGCAAGAGGAGTTTATATCTGGTAACTTTCTGCGTCGAATGTTTTTTTTAAAAAAATGTTCAACCTTCCTTTCTTGTTGCAATCAATCATTTCCAACATTTCCCCCTTGCTCCAAGGACTCAATTTTACTGCGTAGTGACCTTTCACCACCTTGCTTTTCTCAAAACCAAAAGTGGTCTGGCATCTGGCCATTAATCTGGGCAGACTTTCAGCATTTTCTTTCAATACTTTCCCATCTGATAACAAGCTGATATCTCATCAACACCATAATAAATCAAAGTTAGAATCCTCCGTGGGAGGGTATTGCCACAGAACATCCCATATAATATGGTGCCATATTATAAAAAAGCATGGTGAATATATAAAGAGAAAACAAAGGCTTCTCTCTACCACATACCAATCCAATTTCGATTAAAATCTTCTCGAGATCGAGACCTTGACACTCGATGGCTGATTCATTCAGCAGCAGGTTAACTTGTCTCCTTCTTCCAGAACATGCCTGCTTCTCAAGTATGAATTCTGATATAGCTTAAAAAACAGAAGAATCTCTGTGCATGGTGACCACGTTGGAGAGTTTCCAATGCATGCAGGGCATTCCGTAGGAGTGGGAGGCAGCTACTGGGCAATCTGTGAGTGTGAGCGCTCCCCCCGACCTGGGGGGGGGGGTTTGCAATGGAATTACTCTCAAATTATCCTTAATTGTCTGCATGCTATGGTGAGAACCATTGTTCACCATGGCGGCGAAAAACGGAAGTCCGCAATCTATTCATAACAATACATTTCAAACAAAATCAAGTTACACTACACCTTTATCCACTGCCGTAATACCACAGAACAGTCCCTCCAATTCTCAATCTCCTATCAGTGCCAAGAAATCTCTCCCTCTCTGCTCACTTTCACAAAAAGTTTGAGAATTCACTGTCCCAAGGGAGGGAAGTAACTCATGGCTCTTGATCATAAAACCTATAGGTCCTGGGGCAGCTCAGGAATCATGGCTTCTGTGGCAACCATGAGACTGTCTCAGTAAATTAGAGGCCCATTAGGCAGGGTATGGATGCGGGTGGCGCTGTGGGTTAAACCACAGAGCCTAGGACTTGCCGATCAGAAGGTCGGTGGTTCGAATCCCCGCGATGGGGTGAGCTCCCGTTGCCTGGTCCCTGCTCCTGCCAACCCAGCAGTTCGAAAGCACATCAAAGTGCAAGTAGATAAATAGGTACCGCTCCGGCGGGAAGGTAAATGGCGTTTCCATGTGCTGCTCTGGTTCACCAGAAGCGGCTTAGTCATGCTGGCCACCCGGCTCCCTCGGCCAATAAAGCAAGATGAGTGCCGCAACCCCAGAGTTGGCCACGACTGGACCTAATGGTCAGGGGTCCCTTTACCTTTACCTAGGCAGGGCATACCCTGGTTCAGGTTTCTGCAAGGGAGTGGGAAGGCAGAAATGCATCGATAGCGGGGTTTGTGCTGAGCCCATTGTCAGATAGATCATTTCCTGGTGACTTTTGGAGTGATGATGCAGCACCCCTTTATAAATCCTCATAAAACCTGAGAAGTTTAGATCAGAAGAATCTTTACTTGCATCAGCCATTAGCTATAGGAATACAATAAAAGAAAATGTACTGAAGATAGAGGTAAAAACTTAACTATACAAAATACATTTTGGAGGTTCACATCAGTAATCAAATAATCAAATAATAGATCTTATTCTAATTGCCCCCTCTAAAAACCTTGCAGATTTTGCTGCCACCTGGTCATCTTGATCCGCTGGAAGAAAGGACACAGTAGCAATGGTTGAGCAACCCAGCATGGACAATAGTAATACCCTCACTCCTCAAATCTTTAGAAAGAGTGCAAGCAGAAGCTCATGAGCCACTGACTCAATACTGCCATCTCCACATGGACACCATTGTTTTTCCAGTGGAATTTTCTGAAATTGACCCTCAAGTACAGCTGAAGGCAGTTTATTCAAGCTTGCGACAGTGAAAGCACGTCTGTATTTTGGAATTGTTAAATTTTGCAAATAGGGTGCCCAAGTGTCAAAATGACTAGGTAGAAAATAATCATACCATGGACAAAATTGCCTTATTGTGGCCAAATTATTCTGTCGTTCAATTAGGTGCTGTCTAATTTAATTATTTACTTTACTGAAGCCCAGTGTTAATAACTGTTGTGATGATAAACCAGAAAAGTAAATCTTTTGGCTGACAATTTTAGTCCAAGCACTCTCATGACAACTTACAATACTAAGTGTAGTAGACCAGTGGGGTTTAAATTTAGGCAAAGCCAATAATTAAATGTCCTACACCAAACCTGTAATTCAACTGAGGGGAGACTAGCCTCTAAGCGCAATGAAGCATTTGGAACACAGGATGGAACAGAAAAAAATTGCCTTAGGAACTTAGGTTGAACAGCTTCTGTAGATCCAAGGTGAGGGCCTGTCCAAATCTGATCCCATGCAATAACTGTGCTAGGGGATTAGCTTTAAACAGTGCTGATGGTATGTGATTGCCACCTTTTGTATGTAAAAAGCCTGTCAGAATTTTGGCGCTTTGAGATGCTTTTTCCTTTGCATATTTCTGATGTGCTCCCCACGACCCTGCTGACTGAAAAACAGGGCAAAGGTATTTAAAGACTTTAACTTATTCGATCAACAGATTATTCACATACCGCCTATGGGTCCTATAATTTCTTGAAAATTTAGTTTTCTTTAGTTTGACTTCTTGCAATTCACAGCCAGGTGTTCTCTTTGACAGTATCCTGAGAAAGCCCTCATCAACCTTTTTAGGCGCACTTTTGTTTGCGATAGTAGTACCATTTATTTAATTATTAGATTATCTAATTATTTATTTCATTTCTATATCGCTTTATATTTTAAGAAAAATCTCGACTTCCGGGTTAGCGCCATCGCCGAATGGCGGACTCCCTCTGAGCTCCGGAGGGAGTCTGCTCGGCAGGGGCTGGGTCCTACCGCGCCGGCGACGCGGGGACCCTTAAAAACCACGGGCACGGAGTTCGTGGACATGGGTGACTCGGCTTGCACCATTGGCGCCCTCCCGGCTCGTGAAGGAGCCTTTTAAAGGCTTGGATCGGGTGCCGGGGAGTGGCGTGGTGCTTGAGTCCACTGCTTTCCTGCCGAGCGCAGCCGCATGCCATTCGACGGAGAGCGCTGACTTCTTCTATTGAAAATTTGGACTATTAACAACAACCCGTGAGTAATGGGAAACCGGGTTCAAAATTTTGGATTTGGCACGAGCGGGGCGATTTAAAAGGAAGTCAATCCCCCCCCCTATTGTAAGCATTCCAAAACAAGGACTGGGTAACCAAGGTCCAAAGGGAAGTATGTCTCTGATAAAAATCATTAATTTCACGATGGGAAATTATAAGAAATGTGCTGGAGGAGAAGAGTGGAGGGTGAGAAGAAAATGCAACCCCCCGGGAACCGGGCGAGTCGTGGAGCCGGGTGAAGAGAGACGGAGACTGTGACAGCTGTCAAAGTGGCTGTCAAAGCTGGAGAATATAAAGAGGACTTTGTTATGAGGACCTTGCTGGTTAATTTTGTTACAATTTGCTATAATATGGATATAAACTGTTGGAAAATAAGCAACAATTTGACTTTTGGATTAGAGGATACAAAGTTATTACAATCCCCCTAGAGGGGTTTCGGGATACTACAAGAACGGTCGTAAGTGGGAAAATACCCTGGGATTCGCACAGGATTTGTTATCTTCTGGGAAAGCTGCAAAACTGAAAGAGTATTTTGTCTACAGAGGAAGACAATGGAATTTTTTATTGAAGAAAGAAAGGGACTGGACGTAAGTTTTTGTTCCTGAATAACAAACCTCTGCAGAGACACTAGATTTCTGAATTAGAAAGTTTTAGCAGCTGAACAGGACAAGAAACCTGAGAAAGTGAGGAATAAGAAGAATAAAGGACTGATTACTGACACGGAAAGAACAATGGGAGGAGTGGTAAAGATCAAGGAAATTAAAGGCCTTTGTTAGATTGGACATTTGAAGTCAAATATTATTTAAATTAAAAACCCAAAAGAAAACCGGCAAGATGGAATCGGGGAGAAATCTGGTCATGAAATGAGACTTCCAAGCTGATAATGTATAGACTGATGGACATGGGGAATTCAAACCGGGGATTTGAAATCCAAAGGCTGTGTAACCATTTTTTGAATTTTTCTATATCTCTTATTTTCTATTTCTTTACATAACTTACGCATGTTATTTTACTTTGATCAGACGTGTTTAAAAAAAAGGGAATTTGTGGAAGGAACTGGGGTGGATCTTGGGGAAAATCTTCTTTCTTTTTCTGTTAATGATGTGGGACGGTGGTAAGATTTGTACAATTCAATCTGGATAGTGGGTTAAACAAATTAAGCTTTAAATTGGGAGTGAGAGCTTGTAGAACCAAATTAAGGAAAGGGGAATACAATTGGGGGGGGGAGGGGGGGAGTCCCAGAAAGTAGGGAATGAAAGTAAGGTTTTTAAATATCTTCTTTCTTTTGTTTTTTTTTCTTTGTATTTTTATATTTTTGGAAACTTTAATAAATATGATTCAAAAAAATATATATATATTTTAAGAAAAATCTCAAAAGCCGTTTAAAACACATTAAAACATCAATAAGACGATCTGAAGAAAGTCAAATATAGACTATACAGTCAAAGCAACATAATTAACTAAAAAAAAAAACAAAACTAAATTATCCAAGAAGATTTCAAAATAAAACATTACAAAGGAGGTAAACTACAGAATACACACTCCACAAAGTAAGTTAACAAAAAACAAAACTTAAACATTTTTTTAAAAAACCACTGCTACGTGAGGTCAAATATAAAATGCACATTTAAAACAGCATAACTAACTAACAAAAGAATAAAACATTATCATAAGCATGACACAGCTCTTTGGCAGGCACTAAAAGATGGGGCAAAATAATCCAATAGTTAGGGTTTGTTGTCAGGCAATGTCCCTCTGGTCTCACCAGGCACCGCTTTAGTAGAGCTGGTGAGTCTGGGCCCCACCCCCTAGGCCAGGTGGAAAGGGCCTTGCAGGGAGCGGCCTTCACGACTCACAGCAATACCTGAGCTCAGTGGATCACCCAGGCTGGTTATTTATGCTTCTGATTTGCTTTATCCATTATTGAGAATAGTGTATTTGGTTCTATGTGCTTCCTCATTTTTGCTCTGTTTTTACAAGAAGATGAATAACCAGCAAGAAACTGAGGCTGATAGCAAATTTTGGGGCATTCCAAGGCAAGTTACAGATATGTTTAGAAAGATATGCCATGGTGAGGAGACAGAGCCAGAGCAGCCAGCTGAGATGTTATCACTGGAGAGTATTTCTGACCCCCCTTCTCCCAGAACCTGGTGTTTGTTGAGAGTGCAAGAGCAAAGGACTCAGAGACAATTAGCCCCTGGCGGCCACTGTAAGGGAAAGCGCTGTTGGTAGGAAGGGAGTGGAGAGGATCTCAGTTGGAGCAATGCCATTGTCTCTCGCTGTGATGATTGAATAAACTCATTAGTAAGAACTTGTCTTGTTTTTCTCAGCTTCTTGCTGCCACCGGGGGAGGGGGGGAGGGATAAAATCCCCCAAAGCCTGACAATAGATATAGATGTAGATGTAGATGTAGATGTAGATGTAGATGTAGATGTAGATGTAGCTATAGATAGATATGATCATCATCATATTGTAAACTGCCTGATGAATTTCAGTTTTTAATGAGTCTGTGACTGAATTGCAGGCACTGCATGACAGAGTAAAATGGACCAACGTATATGTATGCGATTACTGCTCTGACTTAACTGACAAACACATGCTGGACTTGGATCCTTCACCTCCACCTGACAGTATTGAACATGTGCCGGATGCCAGAGACCCTTTGATATCAGAGCATGTCAGCCTGGAATTTCTGGGGCTCCAAAGCAAGCAATACATGCTGCATAATTAAATGCAGCATGGTGCCAATGGAAGAGCTTTTAGTGGAGCAGCACAAGGATTCAATATTGTAAACCGAACATGTTATTAAGGTTTGTGTATTACATCATGTTCCTATCTCATACACATCTTATAGTGGGAGAAGCCACCAGCAAATGGAGGTAACACACTTGTCACAATACCTACCTTTACCACTTAGTCAATAGCTGGTGTTCTGTGACCCAATATGTTGTTATGTGACATGGCTGCTATTGTAGGTGTGACTTCATAATCTTTAATTACAAATGGGCACAACCTCTTAGTAGTCTTTTTCACAATGCTTGGTTTCTTCATACAAATGGCACACTCATCACAGTCTCATTAAAGCACCACAGAAAGGGACATTTCTCCATAGGGGTGGAAATTAGCCTACAAAAAAGTGCACCAGACAGGACTTCTGCTGCATCCACAGAGAGGTGACTGAAGCAAAGGCGATTTAGACTTACCAGGAATGTAAGTAAAAAAATTGTTCATAGAATCATAAAGTGTAGAACTGGAAGGGATTCCAAGGGTCATCTAGTCAACCCTCTTCAATGCAGGAATCTCATCAAAGTCTCTCATTCAGTTTGAAACCATAGTAGACCATGCTTCGTTTGCAAATGTCCTGTTGTTGTTGTTGTTTAGTCATTTAGTCATGTCCGACTTTTCACGACCCCATGGACCAGAGCACGCCAGGCACTCCTGTCTTCCATTGCCTCCCGCAGTTTGTTCAAATTCATGCTGGTAGCTTTGAGAACACTGTCCAACAATCTTGTCTTCTGTCTTCCCCTTCTCCTTGTTCCCTCCCTTTTCCAGGAGTCTTCTCTTCTCATGAGGTGGCCAAAGTATTGGAGCCTCAGCTTCACAATCTGTCCTTCCAGTGAGCACTCAGGACTGATTTCCTTCAGAATGGAGAGGTTTGATCTTCTTGCAGTCCATGGGACTCTCAAGAGTCTCCTCCAGCACCATAATTCAAAAGCATCAATTCTTCAGCGATCAGCCTTCTTTATGGTCCAGCTCTCACTTCCATACATCACTACTGGGAAAACCATAGCTTTAACTATACGGACCTTTGTTGGCAAGGTGATGTCTCTGCTTTTTAAGATGTCCTAGTAGTTGTATTATTTGTTACTTCCTGTCCAGGAGTCATCAGAGAGAGAGAGAGAGAGAGAGAGAGAGAGAGAGATGCTCTCTCTCTCTCTCTCTCTCTCTCTCTCTCTCTCTGTGTGTGTGTGTGTTTGTGTCCGTGTAAAAACTAGTTGTATGAACTATGAGCCTGTTTCCACACTGTCAACTTAAAACACAGCTAGGATGTTAATTTATTTTAGTCAGGGTTGATTTGAATCTGGAATAGATATGGATGGTAGCTAATGTCAAGTGTACACTACTGTCCAAGCCAACAGGGGGAAAGCATTGCATGCAGACTCAGATATATGCGAGATAAAAACATGTTGTTTTAGCTGAAACAGTGCCCCTCTGGAATTCATCATTCCTCAAATACCAGTGATGAGGGCTCCCCTATTCCTAGCAAGGGTGGGTGGAAAGGATGTTTTTAAATAATAATAATAATAATAATAATAATAATAATAATTTTTATACATTTTCCATTAAGAACATCCAATTAATAACAAATCAAATCAAATCAAAATCCAATTCAAAAGCAAAACAAAACAAAAAACTAAATTACAATCTGTTGGTTTTTTTTAAATGATATTTATTAAGGTTTCAAAAAAAGGATACATAAATAAGAAAGAGAAAAAAAATAAAAAAAGAAGAATACAAAGTACAAAAAAAACAACACAATTAAAAACAATTCCATCTTTTCATCACTTCTCTTTCATTTACTTATTTCCCGGACCTCCTCATACCTCCCTTTTTTGTATTCCAGTTCAGTTTATTAGTCCAGCAATTCCTTTCCCTCCATTTTAATCCTAATCTTTAATCTTAATATATTATAGCATTAGTTTTTTACGTATTGAAAGTCCAATTTTTCCATATTCTTTTATACCATTACAGCTAGAAACCACTTAACTTCAATCCAACATCATTCTAACATTCATTAATTTTACAATATTTCTGTAAGTAGTCTTTAAATTTCTTCCAATCTTCTTCCACCGACTCTTCTCCCTGGTCTCGGATTCTACCAGTCATTTCCGCCAATTCCATGTAGTCCATCATTTTCATCTGCCATTCCTCCAGTGTGGGTAGGTCTTGTGTCTTCCAATGCTTTGCAATAAGTATTCTTGCTGCTGTTGTAGCATACATAAAGAAAGTTCTATCCTTCTTTAACACCAATTGGTCGACTATGCCCAGGAGGAAGGCCTCTGGTTTCTTCAAGAAGGTATATTTAAATACCTTTTTTAATTCATTATAAATCATCTCCCAGAAAACCTTAATCCTTGGGCACGTCCACCAAAGGTGAAAGAATGTACCTTCAGTTTCTTTACATTTCCAACATTTATTATCAGGCAAATGGTAGATTTTTGCAAGCTTGACTGGGGTTATGTACCACCTGTATATCATTTTCATAATATTCTCTCTTAAGGCATTACATGCCGTAAACTTCATACCTGTGGTCCACAACTGTTCCCAGTCAGCCATCATTATGTTATGTCCAACGTCTTGTGCCCATTTAATCATTGCAGATTTCACCGTTTCATCCTGAATTATTACAATCTGAATTATTTATTATTACCGTATTTTTCACTCTATAGGACGCACTTTTCCCCCTCCAAAAATTAGGGCGAAATGTGTGTGCGTCCTATGGAACGAATGCAGGCTCCTTGGCTTCAGCGATAGCAACGCGAAGGCTCCGAAGCGCAGAGGGAGCCTTCTCGCTCTCCACGTGTCAGGGAACTGACATCGGAGCTAGAGGCGGAGGGAAGGCTCTCAAATGATGCTGGAGAAGGGCCCAGCAGAGAGAGAGGCAGCTCAGCAGATGGGGAAGCAATTCAGCGCAACACCAGGAATAAAGAGGGGCAGATGGGGGAATCGGCGAGAGGGCTCCCAGACTCTTCACCGGACACCAGCAGGGAGAGCACGGGTCCTCCGCTACCCACGCCCTCCCTGCGCAGAAGACTTCCGCGCAGAGAGAGTAGGAGGAGACTGGGTGTCAAACAACTTTTATGTTGGAAAAGGTTTAAGAAACGCCCACTGACGGATTCTGCTAGCGACTGAGGCAGCCACGAAGTGAAGGGCTGTCCAGACTGAAAGGTTTAACAAGGCAACAAAGCCAGGAGAGGCGGCAACTTACGCACGAGCAACCCATACTCATTACACCACGCTTCAGGGATAGCCGCCAGAAGCCTTCGGAGCGCAGCGCGAGTTCCCACTGCGCTCCGCAGGCTTCAGGTTCCTTTCGCTGAAGCCAGGAGAGCAAGACTCTCCCAGCTTCAGCAGGAAGGGAGAGCTGAGCAGCAACCCTTAAGCCAAGCGGGAGGAGAAATGGAAGGGGTTCCGTTTTTCATGCAGCTTCGCTGAAGGGGTGCTGAGCAGAGAGGGTGATAATTTTTTTTTTCGTGTTCTCCCCCTCTAAAACAAGGTGCATCTAATGGAGCGAAAAATATGGTAGATTTCACATGGACTTCCCATATTCTGGACCTCTGAAGAACTCATCTCACATAATGATATGATGGCTGAGTATTGTGGCATGATCTCCAATAACCCAGAAGCATGGTTCGCCAGAAGCAGCTTAGTCCTGCTGGCCACATGCTGGCCAGCTTAGTCCTGCTGGGAGCTGTACGCCGGCTCCCTTTGCCAATAAAGCGAGATGAGCGCTGCAACCTCAGAGTCGGCCATGACTGGACCTAATGGTCAGGGGTCCCTTTACCTTTACCTATGTTTCCAACACAGCATGTCGACCTGCGTCTTTTGGCCCATGATCACAGATTGCAGGAATACCTTATCTGGCCTCATAACAGCTATGAGATTACTTTCTACATTCTTCCTCAGGGATCTAAAAAATGGGGCCAACTGAATAAAGTGACATCTGATTTCTGTGCTGTAACTGCATATAATTGCTTCTGACTTTAATGCCAGAATAGGACAAGGTGTAGGAAACTGGGTCTCCAACTTGATGATTTCTTCAGGTACAAAGATACCAGAAAACAGGGCCCCACCCGAACACATGGCCAATCAAGCACTCCCACACAAAGCTTTTATGCTCCCATGTGACACTGCAATCAAACCCACGTGACACCCTTGCTGGAGTGTTCATGGCCCTCCACTGCCACTCCCCACACATCATCTTCCTCTGCATGCACACAGCAGCCACAGCAAGGAACTATGACACCACCAAAGGGTTATTTAAATAAGGAAGGAAGGAAGTACAGAGCCCAAAAATGCCCAGTAGCACAGAGTGCTCTGTTTGGGGGGTGAATTTGTCCACTGGGTGAATTAATGCAGCATATAATCGCCACCCACTTACCTGTGCATGAAAAGATGGACTTATGTTGGTGTAGGCAGGATTCAGCCAGCATGGGCTCATCTGTGCCATGTGTGTATCTGTCTCTCTGTGCATGCCGCAAGGCACTGTGGCCTGTATTTTTATCATAATGCAAACTTGAATGTCATTCTGTTGTACTACAGACGTGACTTGTGGAACGCATGTCTAAAAAGGTGGCCACCTCAGCACTTCCACGAAATCCTACTTGAAAAGGATTGGCAGAGAACTATGCTTGTGATCTGTAACAGTGCAATATCTTTGGAATAATGACACTTGAATAGCGTCCACAATATTTCCTAAATAAGCGTTATATAAAATGCATTTTCTTTCTATTTGGGGCTTCTTTTTTCAGGGCTGAAGATACTTTTTGATTCCATCAATTTGAAAGATTTCAATAAAGCTGAATGTGTGGAAATTTTGAAGAAAGGCCATTTACTGGGCATTTCCCCTGGTGGAGGTAGAGAATCAAACTTTAGTAATGACTACAACATAATGTGGGGTAACAGCACAGGTTTCGCTCGGGATAGCTTTCGAGGCAAAAGTGGTGAGTGATCTTTGTGCAATTTGCATTGCCTTCATGATTATCCTAGATAAGACGTAATGTGTTGACATCCTTGATCTAGCATCCTAAGTAGTTGAGGATGGCAAATCCCCTATTTGGGGGTCAGATGATATCTAGAGTTCCAAGTATTTCCTACTCCTGCTTTTTTTTAAAAAAAAGCTATTGAAATCACTTACATTTAAAAAGAAAAATAGCTTTTTTCCTCTTCAATTCCTGAAAATCTGGAGGACAGCATGTGCAATTTGAAGTCAATTGCATCTGGCTTGTCATTGTAATCCTAGATGGGGAGCATTATTCCTAGTCCTTAACCAAAATAAAGGTGGAGCGGGTGGGGTGAAGGAATTCTCCAGTTCTCACCTTTCTTTTGATTTTGTATTTCTTCTTATTTTCTTTCAGCCCATCATCCCTATGTTTATACAAAACGTTTGTGAAACATTCAGGAACACTGGAAAGTCAAGTGAGCAAAATATCTTATATTCTTTGGTTGATCAAGAGATCTGATGTCAGGCAATAAACTACTAGAAGTTTATTCAATGTACACTTCTCTGCAAAAGTTGTGCTGTCTCTTAAAAATATGCACTCAAATTATTTAACCTCATGTCTGGGATGGATTGATTGGGATTGCTAAAAACTCAGAATGCCAACTAATTTCAAATTTGATATGGGATCGCTTTCTTACAGACTCTTTTCCCTTTCATACATAGGGTTGACAAGATGGTTATATGAGAAAACAAGACTTCTCTACCTTCCCATATATGGAGGACTTCCAGTGAAACTGAGGACATATATTGGAGAACCCATCCCATATGATCCAAATATAAAAGCTGCAGAGCTGGCTGAAAAAGTAAGTTAACTCTACACAAGGAAGTAAAAAAGCAGAATATTGTTTTCCTGTTGGTTTCTCTCTTTCAGTTGTATAAATTGAATTCTGACTACTGACTTACTCATTCTATATGACCAGAGATCGGGTTCATTATATAGACTTTTGTGCATTATGTTCATCACTCAGCTTTCCCTCTCTGTAAATTGTTGAGACCATGAAAAACCTATGCATTTTATGTAGTGCTGCACAAAGATCTGCTCATGCAATAGAACTTCTTCTGCCCACCATATGCCCCAGAACAGGGGTCTGCAACCTTTAAGACAAAAAGAGCCACTTGGACCCGTTTCCGAAGAAAAACAACAACTGGGAGCCGCAAAACCATTGCGACATTTAAAACAAATATAACACTGCATATATTGTTTCTTACCTTAATGCTATATATACAGGATCGTGCAGTCAGCTGTCAATCTCAAGGAAAAAAAGGACAAATTAATAGCTAATTAAAATATTTAATTTACAACCAGGTAACCAGGTTAATGGGACTTTTGCTCCTGAACCTCAGTGCTCAGTGTCTGCACATCAGGGCTGTAAGACGTCACCTTCATTTTCACACAGGCTTGCAAGCTGTCATCTATGAGGCGTGATCGATGTTTGTTTTTAATATAGTTCATGTTGGAGAAGACCTGCTCACATACATATGTGGAACCGAAGATCGACAGGACTCCAAATGCATACTTTTTCATGTTTATATAAGTGTTGGGGATGGCATTCCATGTTTCGAATACAAGTTTGTCCTGTTTGGGAAGGTTTTCAATATCACTCCATTTATGATTCTGAGCCAGAATGGCCTTCTGACGGGCAACATCCTCAAGAGTAGCGGTCAAGCATTTGAACTTGGACACCCATATATCTTTGTCGGCTATATCTGCCAGTTCCAGCTCAAGATCAGGTTGACTTACACCTGGAAATGCAGTCATATTCAATAGGGATGGATCGATCGCCAGGGGAGTGACAGGGAAGGATAATGTGTGTTTTTCCTCTCTGAACCCACAGAATCGTTTCCCAAACGAGCTTTGCATTGCGGTGATTGCAGACTTGAAATATTCCAAATTTATCGTATCATGACTTTGTTTGAACTCTCTCAAAGAGGGAAAGTGAGACAGTGTACCTCTCTGGAAATCTTTGACAAACACTGTCAACTTGCGCTCGAATGCCAAAACCTCCTCCAGCATGTGCAGGGCTGTGCCTCCTTTCCCCTGAAGGTTGTATTTAGCGTGTTTAGATGGGCTGTCATGTCTACCATAAAATGTAATTTTTCCAGCCACTCTGGCTGTTCCAGCTCAGCAAAGGTAAGCTCTTTGCTGACCAGGAAGGTTTTTACTTCTTCCAAACATGTGACAAAGCATTTTAGCACCTCGCCTCTGGACAACCACTGGACCTTGTTGTGGAGCAGGAGGTCAGAATATGTGCTTTCCACCTCATCCAATAGCAAACGCAACTGGCGGTGGTTTAAACCCTTTGCCATTATCTTATTAACAATCTGAATGATCACATCCATCACTTTTGTGCATTCGGGGGGAAATGTTTGAGCACACAATGCCTCTTGGTGCAGGATGCAATGAAATGACAGCAGCGTTCTACCCAGTGCCTTCTGCAGTAGAGCCACAAAGCCCTTCTGTACTCCTCTCATGCTCGGTGCCCCATCAGTAGCCACTGAGACCAGGTGGTTGGTGTTTATTTTTTTAGCACTTAAAAAGTCCAGGACAGCCTTACAGATATCCTCACCCCTTGTTTGGTCTTTTAGTGGTATCAGCTCAATCAGTTCTTCCTGTGGCCCCAAAGAGTTCACATATCGGCAGAACAGTGCTATTTGTTCAATATCACCTTTATCTTTGGACTCATCACAGGCGATGGAGTACACCACAGCTGAATTAATGTCTTGAATTTGCTGTTTGCTAATGTTTTCTGCCATTTTTAGGGTTCTGTCTTTAACAGTCTTCACAGACAGAGGCATGTCTTTGATTTTCTGCACAATTTCATTCTTGTTTTTGAAGTCCATGTATAGATGTTCCGAAATCTTAATGAATGCTTCTTTTATATAATCTCCATCTGTGAACGGCTTCCCGTGCTTGACTATTTCCTGAGCGGCTACAAAACTAGCATATGTTGTGGAATTTGCAGACTTCACCCAATTCTTGAAATTATTTTTGCTCCTATCAACCTTCCTCATAAGTTCTACAACGGCTTTTCGTCTCTCATCTCCATCTGGATATTTTTCAGCAAAGGCTGTGTGTTTATTCTGGAAATGTCTTGCAATATTTGACTTTTTGTTGTTTGCAAATTTCTCACTACATATTAAGCATACTGGTAAACCAGTCTTGTCAGTAGAGAATGCAAATGATTCTGTCCATGTATCATTAAATATTCTGTTTTCTTCAGAAATTTTTCTTTTCTTGCCTTTATCCATGGCTGGCCTACCGGGGGTCCAAAACAGGGACGTAATTAGAAATCAGAGGGCCCCATAGCAAAATTTGCTATGCCCAATAATCAATGCCCCAAAATGCCACAGAAAATTAATCAGGGCCCCAGTGTACCATAAATCATAATCAGTGCCAGATGTAAATAATAATTAATAATGAGGGCCCAATGCCATCCTCGTCATTATAAAAATACCTTTTTTGACACTTTTTATTATTTCTTTGTTTGACCCCTCAGAATTACTCCTCCTCATAGAAATAAACGTTAAATTAACAAGTTACCTTTTTTTGAGTGTGTGTTCTTCACTCCCCTTCAAAACAGTGACCAGCGTACATGCCCCCTTTCAATGCAGCCTGCTTACAAAGGCAGGACGACAAAGACTGGCAAGAAGCTGTTGCATAACGTTCCCCAAGGAAAGCGTTAGCTATTCACCAAACTTTCCCCTGCTTAAGTTTAAAAAGGGGCTTCAAGCAACTAAAAAGGGGCTTCAGGCAACTAACTCCCACGTGGAATTGCCTATAGTAAGATGGCGGCCGCCTCAGAAGACCACGTGGGCAGATAAGATGGCTGCCGGGACGATCCGGTTACCCAGCAACAGCACAGCTGCTTCCGACGCTTTTAGAGCCTCAACCTTCCGCGTTAAAGAAAGCAGCCCGCAAAGCAAGCGTTGGAGCGCCGAAGCCACCTCACCCCCACAAGGAGAATGCTGCGCGTGTGACCAAATAGCGAGGACTTACGTTGCTAGAGACAAGCCCCGACACTACCACAAGCCTCCCTCTCTTCGCGCCCCCAGCCTCCCAAGAACCCCCCCCCGCTTCAAACGGTCACAAAGCACAAATTCCACGTGACCGCGACTTGAAATAAAAGTACCCCACAACCTGATCCGCCAGGCGCGCCGAGTCCTCCCCAGGAAAGGTAAAATGCGGTGATGAGCTTGCGTAGCGCGCTAGGCTCCCAGCAGCGAATCGAATTGGATAGGCAGCAAGCAATCCAAACGGAGAGGTTTTCGGCGCGATCAAGGTGCCCCCGGTAGATAAGGGAGTGATCCACTCGTAAGTGGCTTTTTGCGTGTTTCCACCCGGAAAATGCGCCTCCTCCCCTCGCCTCCGCCCCGGAGCCGCAGCAAAGGTGTTAAAGAGCCGCATGCGGCTCTGGAGCTGCTGGTTGCCGACCCCTGCCCCAGAATCTGCCCCATAGGGTTCTTCCAAGCCCCCTCCCCGGTGGGGGACCCAGTAAGCACTCTACGCTCTTAAGCCTCAATAAAACTATTACTGAAGAAATTCTGATGTTTGTGTGACTTATTGCAACTCTGCACGTGAATGTGACTCCATGCTACACTGCTATTTTCACCCGTGCCCTGCTGTGCTGTTTTCAGGCATGGAACCAGGAGGTGACTGATTTCTGTCACTAGCCCTGTTAGCCATTGCCATTTGAAGAGAACGAGGGAGGTGTTCATAGTGAGTTCAGGCACCTCTTTTTCTGGAAAATAGCACTGAGCATAGTGAAATATAACTCAATAGCATTTCTACCGTTTTCCTCACATAGCTGGAGGTAACAGCTGTGCAGGATAATACGTACCAAGCAGCCCAAGGCCCTTATGTTTGGTTGTATCTCTGCCATTCTCATACAGTGCTCTTGGTAAACATAAAGAGTGTGGGCTGGATTCACTGAGAGATGAGCAGTTTCCTAGTGGGGGTTCCTCACCCTGGCTGCTCTGGCCCAACCCTCCATGTTGAAGAAACCACTTTTGAGGGTTGAGAGACAAGGACTCTCGTGCAACACATCTAATTATACATAGACATTTGCATGAAAGAAGTTACATATTGTGCTTCTATAGCTGGAATAAATGGGTTGCCTCTGGTTCTGATCCCTTTAGCTTTTTCTTCACAGATATTAATAACTGTGAACACCTATTTAGCAATATATTCCTATAACACAATGTATTCCTTTGTTCTTCTTTCAACAGGCAAAGACCGCAATTGAAAATCTTAGGGATAAATACCAAAAAAGCCCAGGAAATATGTTAAGAGCTCTTTCAGAACGATTTGATAAGCATTACAAAGCTAACTAGTCCATATAAAACAGTTGCAGTGTTTCTGACGAGATGTCTGTTATAGGAAGCATTAATAATTATGTTATTAAAGCTAAGCTGATATACACAGAATTGTGCTGGATTTTGTATTAATTATCTGGAAGGGACCCTAGCTCAGTAACTCAGCACCTGCTGTGTGTTCAGAAGGTCCTAGGTTTTCAAAGACATACGAGTGCTTTCTTGCCCTATCCTGCAATACACCCAGAATTCCCCTTTTATAATGGGAAGGCGAGTGTTTAACTGAAACATGAAATAATATTACAAGTGAAAGAGTAATGTCTCTTTTATTCACATCTCTTTTATGTTTATAGAGATAAGCTTTCACTTGGTTTGAACCTGTGGGCTGCAGACCTCTGTAGGTACACAGAGTTATCCCAAGGGGTCAACAAAGCAGCTGTGGCTGGCTGGTCCTGGTCAAGGGCCCAGGAACTCAGAGGCCTGTTCGTCTAGCACCCATTAGCTGGCTTTCTCCCAATAGGATGTCTGTGGAGGAAGGCATGAGGCCCATCTGCTCTCGAAAAGGAGTGATTGGCTTCAAGCGGGTTGGCATAGATGACCCTTGTGGTTCACCCCAACTCTATTATTCTATGATTCCTATGAGGCATCCCAAAACAAATCTATATGAATGTTTACTACATTGGGAACAATTCCACATTTAAAAATGTGATTATACACACACACACCCTCAGATGAACAACAACAAATGACACATTACACCGTGCCATTTATTAACAGAAATAAAGACAATATGGAAAAGCCATGTGTGAAAAACTAAGTACATCTTATTATTAAATCGCTTGTAGAACCACATTTAGCAACAATAAGAAGCTATCATTTTCTGTAGGACTTTATCAGTCTCTCACATCACTCCAGCTCATTGAAGTTTGCTGGCATCTGTTTATGCACAGCTATCTTAAGGTCTTGCGCAGCATTTCAATTGGGCTGAGGTCTGGACTTTGACTAGGTCATTGATTCTGTTCTTTTCCAGCCATTATGTGATAGATTTCCTGGTATGCTTGGGATCCTTGTCCTGTTAACAGCATGACCCAATTTTGGCCAAGCTATAGCTGTCAGCAAATTGCCTCACATTTGACTCTAGAATACTTTGGTATACAGAGGAGTTCATGGTTGACTCAATGACTACAAGGTTCCCAGCTCCTGTGCCTACAAAACAAGCCCAAATCACCACCCCAAGCTGCTTGTGCTGATATGCTGTTTGGTTTTCGTCAAAGGTGGTGCTGTGCATTAAGGCCAGACATCTCCACTTTGGTCTCGTCTGTCCAAAGGACATTGTTCCAGAAGTCTTGTGGTTTTTTCAGATGCAACTTTGCAAACCTAAGCCGTGCTGCCATGTATTGAATAATAGGATTATTCAGAAGGTATTGAATAATCAGGATCAGGTGCACAACCTTAGGGTCATTTTGAACTCACATCTGTCCATGGATGCACAGGTTAATTCTGTGTTGATTCTGGTAGCTAGACTGGTGATAAGGAGCGGCCGCTGGCACCATATAACACCCAGCCTGGAAGATCTACGTATATTGGCTCCCTGTATATTTCTGAGCACAATTCAAAGTGTTGGTGTTGGTGTTAACCTTTAAAGCCCTAAATGGCCCTGCCACTGTATACCTGAGGAGTGTCTCCACCCTCATCATTCAGCCTGTGAACTAAGATCCAGTTCTGAGGGCCTTCTGGCGGTTCCCTCACTGCAAGACGTGATGTTACAAGGAATCAGGCAAGCTGCCTTCGTAGTTGGGAGTGGCTCCCGCCCTGTGGAACACCCTCATCTGATGTCAAATAGATAAACAACTACACAAATTTCTGAAGACATCTGAATACAATCCTGTATCAGGAAGCTTTTAATCGATGATGTGTTGCTGTGTTTTTATTATGTTCTTAGCTGCCCAGAGTTGCTGGAGCAACCAGGCTTACACTTACACACACACACACCTTTATCTTTTAGCTCCTGAAAGACTCAAGTTTCCATCTTAGCTGATTTATTTCTGCCATAGCCTCAATTATGAATACCAGAGTAGGCTGATCAGGATTTAAGAATTTGTTGGGCATTTGTTCCTGAAGATGATGTGAACAAAGGCCCAAGCTTTCGATCTGAAAATCATTGGGTGTGTTGGGGAATGTTATTATAGAGATGAGAGGTAGATATTCTTTATGATGCCTGACAGTATTGGTGTCAGGGACTGGAATGAAGAAGCAGACAGATGAGAGGAATCTCTCTCCCCCCCCCTTCTCCTGGAGCTGACAGGGGGGAGAGAGACAGCTTTGAATTGCAGCCAAACTATGAGAGAGAAAACCAGGCAGAGATGGGAGATTCTCCATCAAATCAACTCTATCTGGACCGAGGATAAAAAAAATGGGATAAGTGAGAAAAAATCTAGATTCCAGATTGAAATATTAGAAAGTAAAACAAAAACAAAACTCCTATCAAAAATGTATAGCCTGTTACTCGAATGGGACACCATAAATGAAGAAGTAAAGGAGGTAATGGTGAGATGGGCAATGGACTTTGGGTATAACATAGAGTTTGATAAATGGCAGGCACTATGGAATAAAGGTATGAGATTCTCGGCATGCACAACACTCAGGGAAAATATGTACAAAATGATGTACAGGTGGTACGTAACGCCCGTAAAACTGGAAAAATATATAAAACTGGTGATAAATTATGCTGGAAGTGCAAGATTAAGGAGGGCGATTTTTATCATATGTGGTGGTTGTGCGAGCCTATTAGAAAATTTTGGGAATCTATTTACAATGAACTAAAAAAAAATCTTTAAATATACCTTTATAAGAGACCTGAAGCCTTTTTGCTGGGGATAATTGGAGAGGAAATCAAAAGGAAGATCAAACACTCTTTCAGTACGCGACAGTGGCTGCCAGAACTCTAATAGCGCAGAATTGGAAGACACCAAGAATCCCAACCATAAATGAATGGCAATCGAAACTACTCGACTATCTAGAATTGGCAAAAATGACACAGAAAATAAGAAATCAAAAAGACACAAAGTTTAATAAAGATTGGAATAAATTCATGGCATACATGGAAACAGAGGTAAAAAACTAAAAAACACACTAGGTGTGATATAACACTTGTGATGTAAAGAATTTTTTTTTGAGGAAAAGAAACTGCAGATAGAAAAATTTTATAACACATTCTGAAACCGAGATGAAGGGAAGTCAGTCAGTGTTGTGTGTTATGTAGTTAATGTAGTCAATTTATTGTTGTCTTATGTCAGGAGTATATATATATTTTATATATATATATATATATATATATATATATATATATATATATATTCTTTATTTAGTTTTTTTGGTGTGAATGTGTTGTGTTTGTCTTCTTTGTTTGTATGGTGTTATAAAATAAAATTTATTAAAAAATAAATAAATATATATATATAATGGGAAGGCGAGTGCTTAACTGAAACATGAAATAATATTACAAGTGAAAGAGTAATGTCTCTTTTATTCACATCTCTTTTATGTTTATAGAGATAAGCTTTCACTTGGTTTGAACCTGTGGGCTGCAGACCTCTGCAGTACACAGAGTTATCCCAAGGGGTCAACAAAGCAGCTGTGGCTGGCTGGTCCTGGTCAAGGGCCCAGGAACTCAGAGGCCTGTCTCGTCTAGCACCCATTAGCTGGCTTTCTCCCAATAGGATGTCTGTGGAGGAAGGCATGAGGCCCATCTGCTCTCGAAAAGGAGTGATTGGCTTCAAGCGGGTTGGCATAGATGCCCCTTGTGGTTCACCCCAACTCTATTATTCTATGATTCCTATGAGGCATCCCAAAACAAATCTATATGAATGTTTACTACATTGGGAACAATTCCACATTTAAAAATGTGATTATACACACTCACACCCTCAGATGAACAGCAACACATGACACATTACACTGTGCCATTTATTAACAAAAATAAAGACAATATGGAAAAGCCATGTGTGAAAAACTAAATACATCTTATTATTAAATAGCTTGTAGAACCACATTTAGCAACAATAAGAAGCTATCAATTTCTGTAGGACTTTATCAGTCTCTCACATCACTTCAGTTCTGAAGTCATATATAAACCAACTGAAAACGGCCAAAGCCCCAGGCTCAGATGGCATTACACCAGAAATGATAAAAGCACAGGTGGATTGGTGGGCACCTTTCTTAGCCACCCTCTTCACTTACATAGATGACACTGGCCGCATCCCAAGGGAATGGGGAACAGACATAATAGTTCCAATCTATAAAAAGGGCAACAGAGGGGACCCAGCGAATAGGCCGATTAGCCTATTAAGTGTGATCAGTAAACTCTACGCAAAGCACCTCCTTAATAAATTTACAGAATGGCTAGAGAATGAAGATATCCTGGCAATAGAACAAGAAGGCTTCAGACCTGGAAGGTCCACGACAGATCACTGCCTAACGCTACAACATCTCATCGACAAATACAAATCAGGAGGGCAGGCCTCACTATACGCTGCCTTCATTGACCTAAAAGCAGCCTTTGATACAGTCTCCAGAACCAGACTCTGGGACAGACTACAGGGTACCAATATAGATAGAAGGCTCCTGCTCTTAATTCAGGCACTGCACACAAACACAGCTCTTAGAGTCAGGTGCAGCCGCCTAGGACACCTAACGGACCCTATTAAAACCTTCAAAAGTGTCAGGCAAGGGTGCCTATTGGCCCCCCTCCTATTTAATTTCTATCTAAATAACTTAGTATCTGCACTCAATGACTCAGAACTCCACCCGCCAAAGCTTGCAAATTGGCATATTTCGGTCCTGCTATATGCCGATGATGCGGTAATTCTATCTAGAACCCCCACTGGACTCAAAAGAGCACTAAGAAAGCTTGCAGCATACTGTGAATCTGAATGTCTCAAAATCAACTATCAAAAGACCAAGATACTCGCTTTTGGGAAAAAGCCAAAGCTTAGAAGCTGGGAACTCCAAGGCCATAAATT